ACACTGAAACTAGACAGTACCGCAATGACAAGACTAGGGTCATTGATGAGAAATATAATATCGCACGAAATTTTGTTCGGTTCGAAATTGAATTTTATCGTTTTAGATAGAGAAAATAATTGGAGTCCACTGTGAAAAACTGGTTGAGGTCAACAGTGACAGAAAATCTCGTGAAATAAGACTAAAATAAAACGATTGTCATTATTGACCTATGCAGATAAACCTTGTTGACACCAGAGTCAATAATGACACTGTGACAATAAATCGAAGGGGTCAACACTGACAGAAAAGCACGTAAAATCATGCCATTAATTGTCAATTCCTTGACACTACTGTTAATAATGACAATCCAAGACAAATCGATGACGTCAACAGTTGCCATCGTGGACACAAGACAATAATGTCGACGAGGTCAAAAATGACAGGAAGATACTAATATAATTAATGTCAACACTGATGTAAAATACGACACTACTAAGATTCGAGTCGTCAATAAAACAACGTTGGCAGTCAATAATGCGATGACGACGAAGTCAACAGTGACAGGTAGAAGCTCGCAAAATAGGTCAAATATGATATATTTCACCACTGGCAGATGCAAGTCCTTATTGACACACTCGATAAGGGAGTCAATAATGACAATCGTTGAGGTCAACAGAAAAACTTACGAAACCGGGTTTATCCATTTCCAATGTTGTGTAATTTTGCTCAACAACTTGAAGAGGAAATTGAAAATATTTGCGATAGCCGGGCCGGGGGCTTATCTCTCCGGTTTTTGGGTGGGGACTTATTCAGGGTCAAGTCCGCCTAAATCAATAAAGCCCGGCCTCATCCGAGAGGGAGGGACTATACCAAAGGAGTAGTACAACGGAAGCACTTTGGAAGTACGAGTGAATACGCCCGAGGATACGAGGGTCTTTTTTTGGTCCTCCGGGCAGGATTTTCTGTTTAGGACTTTATTTTCAAACCGTACGACTTTGCTAGATAAATTGAAAAGTTTACATAAAAAATTAAACTTGCCATGGCGAAAAGCTGTTGGACTTTGGGTTGCAATGAAAGAATGGTCCTCCGGGCCGGATATCACAGGCCTGGGGGTGGTCCTCCGGGCGGAGTGTTGCCTCCTTCGGCCAAAATCTAAAATGGATTCTCTGACCACTATACGTTTTATGACGATTAGATGGAAACAATTTAATTTGCATGATTTCGCATTTAATACCTGGTCCTACTGGCTGGATAGAGGATTAATTTTAGGCGCCTGGTGTAGAGGTCAAGCATGTTCTGATAAAATTTAACCCGATCCTGTGGCAATTAGGCGATCGTAGGCTAGTGGATCCTTTTCCATTACTATTTGGTCCTCTAGACAGGATAGGGTTGATTTTTGGCCCCCTGGTTCTAAAACGGTCTATAATGCCAGAACGTCGCTATACCGCTATAAAGCGATTCTTAACCAGTAGTGTTAATATTTGGTCCTCCGGGTAGGATACGATTAATCTGAAAAGCCTGTTGGAAAATAAAACATGCCGTGCTAACTTTTAGGCATGTTATACGATAAAAAAGTGATTGTTGACAGTCTTTAGCTTTCCTCTTATTATTTGGACGTCCGGGCTTGATGGGAATAAAGAAGTAAGCAAATATTTAGCTTTCTCGGCCGAAATCAAAAATAATCTCTGAGCACGATGCGTTTTTATGAGGATTTAAAGGGAAAGTTTAATTCCAGGCTTTTGGGTTTTTTTGTCCTCCGGGCACGGTAAGGCTTAATTTCGAACACTTGGTGCTAAAACTAAGCTTACCCTGGACATTTCAGTGAATTGCTCAACGATAAACCATTTTTAGTGAATATAAAATATTTACTATCACGATTTGGTCCTCCAGGCAGGATAGATATAATTTTAGAAGCCTGACAATGTAAAATCCTGCCTTCTCTACCATAATTTCAGTCAATTTAAGAACAAAAACTGTAATCGGAGATTTAAGCATTTATTTATTCCTCCGAGACGGACGGGTTAATCTTAAGACTCTTTGGCCGCAAAACGTTTTTGTGAAGAGAGAAAAAAAATATTTGGAGGCTTATCATTTAGTGCTCTAATCATCCGTTATCATTTAGCTCGATTTGGTCCTCCGGGACAGTGGGGTTAAACATTAACGATCAAGTATGTCCTGCCAACATTTATGCTTGTTATATAACAAAAAAACAATTATTTAAAATTTGTAGACTTATGTTATTATTTGGTCCTCCGGGGCGGATGAGGTTCAAAGTAGCAAAACAGTTATTCAGCTTTTTCGGACAAAACAAAACAACATTTCGTTACAATAATTTCTTGTTTTTTAACAAATAGAGTAGCAAATGAATTTTCTCACAATTAAAAAGATTTGGTCCTCCAGGATGGATGCAGATATCTTTAACACCTGGGAAAATCCAGAATTATCTGGTGAAATTTATTACTAAAATTAAGCCAATATTGTGGCCACATGGCAAATTTTGCACATTACTCTTTGATCCTCCGGGCCGGATAGGCTTAATTTTAAACACCCGGTGCTGAAATCAAGCTTAACCTGCCGACACTCGCGAATTCTAGGATAAAATAAACGGTTCTTAAATAATTAAAAGTCGATTCGTACTACTTTTTTGTCTTCCGGGAAGGATAGGTTTATCTTTGCCGAATAAATCCTCGGAAACGGATTGGGTTAATATTTGACGGCAAAATCTATTGATTTTAAAGCCAGTTATGGCAACAACAAAAGTAACATGAAAATTACAGTAAAAGTTAGAACATGGGTGAAAATTTTCCTAATGAAACTGTCTCCGGTTTAAAAGGATAGGAAAAAGAAAAACACGAAATTCTGGGAGCTTTTTTAAGCCTGGAACCAGGCCGGATGAACCTTGACCGTGTGTTCTTGTTTTTGTTATTTACGTCCAGCGGAAAAAGGACGTCTCCTCCATCTCCGATCCCCCCACCACCGGTTTTGGGGAGAATTTCGGCCTCTGGAATTTCTGCGAGTGTTGAAATTGCGCCAGAAATGGAAATTACGTCTCGCCTAGAGACAAAAGGGGGCCCCGGCCGTGAAGATCCGGACCGAGTCCTTGACGGTTCTATGAATCAAGCGCAATTCGCCGATTTAAGAGCGAAAAAAAGGTGAAATAATTTGCAAAATTTTTATCTGGTTAGTCAAGAAGAATAAGACATGTGTGGTTATGAGGTTTTTTACTTACCCATGCCATCTGACAAAAATTGTATTCAATTTTATTCAATTTATCAAAATCTGTACTTCACGAAAGTTGTAAGAAGTGTATGTTAAAGTATAAGTATATTATTCAATCCATACCTCGGCTTTGGTCTGACGAAGGATTCTTAATAATGGGAGCCGGTGTTCGTCCTTCTGGGTGCGAGGACGATCCGAGTCGATACTGGGGCCGCACGTGGCCCACCGGCTCCCCACCACAACTGACGGTGGGGGCGCCAATTTTCAAAAGGGATGAAACCGAGGGTTCGGCAGTTTAACAAGGGGCTGGGATGTAACGGCGTCGGAAGCGGTGAAAGCTGTTCATTGTAATAAGAAAAAAATTACTTACCTAAAAACCATCACTCTTTTTCTTAGTCTGACATGGAACGGAATAAATAAGATTGGGGAACTCAATGCTTAAGTGATCGTACTTCTACGAGAATTCAAGACACACCACAACACGACACTACATGAGACTGTCGACAACAACTGAGTATTAAGTACAGAAGGACGTAACGGATTCCAAAATCACTATTAGAACGGTTAACGTCAGTGAGTACTCAATAAATAAATGCTCGAAACCGTTGACGTCTTTAAGTAATCAAGGCAAAAATATTGACGCCAATGAGTACTTAATACGCAACAATTTGAAGGTTGATGTAATTAGTACCCAAACTACTTGGAACTTTATACTCATTACACTATTCGAGGCTATTATTACTAATTACTCAAGGCGACGCCAATGAGTACACTATTTGGAAAGATGGCGTAAATAATGCTCAAGGCAAAATTAATTGAAACTTTGTAAGTCATTGAATACTCTTCTTTACACTATTCGAGATTGGTGACGTCACTAAGTACCCAAGGCAAAAATCACTTGAAACTGACATCATTAGTCATATATTAAGACTTGAATTTCTTTTCGACATGAGTACTTAGAACATAAATAGTGGAATCAGTTGACGTTATTGTGTACTTGAAATAAAACTACTTGGATCTGTCGACGTTCCTGAGTACTCAAGGAAAAAATACTTGAAACTTTTTACGCCTTGAGTACTGAATGAATGACTGCTTGAAGCTGTTGACGTCATAAAGTTCTTAATACAAATTGAGGGCTCAAGAGTAAACTACTAGAGGCTGTTGCAGTCATTGAGTACTCAATACAAAACGACGTGAGGCGGTTGACGTCATTGAATACGTAATATTAAAGTCTGAACGTAACAATTCTGGAAGAGGGGAGGAGGTGGCCGTTTGCTTCTTGTTTAAGGTTTTTTTTTGGTGCCTCTGGGCAGGATTTATTTTAAATAAAGTGACAAATTAAGAAAAACTTTACTTTGAAGGGTAGGCAAGAAGGTAAATGTGTTGTACTTTGAATGGTGATGGTTTTCTTTTTGGTCCTCCAGGCCGAAATCAAACATCAACGAGCGTATAAGGTCTACGTATTTGGCTTTTATATTAAACTGACCATTGCAGGAATTGGTCATCCGGGCCGGATTTATTTTAAATAAATCGAACAAATTAAGAAAAACTTTACTTTGAAGGGTAGGCTAGAGGTAAATGTGTTATATTTTGAATGGGGATCTTGTTTTTTGGTCCTCCGGGGCGGATTTATTTTAAATAAAACGAACAAATTATGAAAAAACTTTGCTTAGAAGGGTTGGCGAGAGGTAAATATATTGTATTGAAATCTTGGTATTCTTTGGCCCTCCGGGCCCGATTTAAGGGTTTTAAAGTCCTCCGGGCTGGATAAGACGAATTCGCAATATTACGGTACTCACCTTTCAGTCGTCGGATCGGCACAGTTGAGTGGAAACTTGAGCTCGATCACCTCGCCGTTACGCTCCCGGAGCTGGCCCTCGTTCTCCATGTAGAACTGGACGAGCTCCGAGAGAGTGGCGAACTTCTCGCCGCCGTACAGGTCATAGAAGTCGCCCGTGTTCTGTATCTTGATGTGAGTCACCTCGTTGTTCCTCCTGAAATAATTGCAATTTTAATTGCGGCTTTTTAAAATCAACTCGATTATTGGTTATATAACTTGCCTCACGGACAGGGTGAAGTCCCCCGGATTCGACCGGCTGGGGCGGGCCAGGAATGAACCGTCGTAGCCCCTTTCCATGAGGAGCATTTCAGCTTCCACACCGGTGACGTTCGGGTGGAACCATCTGAGCAGTGACCAAAAAAACATCAGTTGCATCGATCGCGAATTAAGCTTAAAAAATCAATTTCTTATAATTTTATTTGTTTTAAGAAAAAATAAATATTTCAAGAAAATTTATTTTAATTTCAATTTTTCATATGGGTTGGAGGGATCTAACTTTCACAATATAAAAGAAAACTTCCTTTGATTTTCAGTTTTTGTTTAAGCGGAAAAGATCCGAATCAACAAAAGAAGTCTTCCGTAAATTTGAATAAAAGGGACGTACCCTTAACTAGATAAATCATTCCTTTAATTTCCTTTTTTATCTTTAAGAAAGAATCTGATTCGACAAAAAAAGGGATCTACCTTTGATGAAATAAAAAAGCATTCCTTTAATTTTTTCTTCGACAAGTAATTTGGATTCACCCTTTACGATATAAAGAAAGCATTCCTTTAATTTTCCGTCCCCTTTTGGCTAGAAGTAAAAAAAGGTAATCTTATATGAAAGAAGAAGTGGTAATCTTATATGAATGACGATTTTCTTCCCTACTGAAAAGAATCTGGTTTGAGAAAGGACGTTTTCCTTAAATTTTCTTTCCCCCATTGAGCAAAAGCGGTCTACCCATGAGAGAAGACTTCCTTTAATTTCCTTTTCCTATTTGAGTGAAAGGGATCTACCTTTAATGAAATAAACAAAGCATTCCTTTAATATTAAAGTTGAGTCATCCTTTAATTTTCCCCCTCTCACCGGTGGGTGGAAGGAAGAGATCTATACTTAAATAAACTAAGACTCCTTCCTTTAATTTCCAAGAATCTGATTCCACAAAATAAGCCTTTCTATAAATTTCTTTTTTTATTTGAGTGAAAGGAATCTATGCTTAACGATATAAACAAAATATTCCTTTAAGACTTAAAATGAATGAAGACTCCCTTTAATGCCTACTTCAATGGAAAGGGTCTGGCTAGAATAAGTATTCACTTTCTACCCTTAACGACATAAACAAAGCATTCCTTACATTTTTTTTTCCTTTTTGAGTAATTTGGATCCACCCTTAGCGACATAAACAAAGCCTTTCTTTCTCGTTTTGGCTGGAAAAGATGTGCCTTTAACATAAAAGAAGACTTTCTTTAATTTTCTTTTAAACCAAACATTGGATCTATCTTAATATGAATGAAGATTCCGTAGGCTTCCTTTGAGAAAGAAAGTCTTCCTTTAATTTTTTTTTAAATTGATTGGTCAACACTTACCTAAACGAAGACTTCCTCTAATTACCATCTTTTCCTCCTTGCATCCTTCATTTTTTATTATAACTTTTACTATTTCTTTAAAAAAAAAAGACGATTTTAACTTAGATTTGCATCTTTAATATTTCCGCAGTTGTAAGAGGGGTTCTTTAAGTAAACACATATTTATAAAAAGAAAACTAGAACATATCAATTTAGTCGATTTGGAACTGAAACGGAACAATTCATTAAAATAAACAAACGACTGTCCAATTTAAAATTAAACTTTATAAGCAAATTTTTAAAGAAAAATTGCATCTTTAATATTTCCGCAGTTGTAAGAGGGGAGTTCTTTAAGTAACACAAATATTTACACATTTGTATAAAAAGAAAACTAGAACATATCAATTTAGTCGATTTGGATCTGACAATTAATTAATAAATAAACAAACGACTGTCCAATTTAAAATTAAACTTTATAAGCAAATTTTTAAAGAAAAATTGCATCTTTAATATTTCCGCAGTTGTAAGAGGGGAGTTCTTTAAGTAACACAAATATTTACACATTTGTATAAAAAGAAAACTAGAACATATCAATTTAGTCGATTTGGATCTGACAATTAATTAATAAATAAACAAACGACTGTCCAATTTAAAATTAAACTTTATAAGCAAATTTTTAAAGAAAAAACGTCAAATTTAGACTGGATTCTTCTTGGCGGTTAACTTTTCCTTTAATTTCTCTCCACCAGAACGCCTCCGAGGGAAGACTCGTCTCATAAAATTAAAGGAAAAACTACCAAATGGTTAATAAAAACATTTAAGGGGACGACACATCCACCATTAAAGGAGTGTAACAGAAAAATTGGGCTACAATAAACATTGATCTCGACCAAATTAAATGAAAATTTAAGGCTTTCCCTCCACTAGTATGAGTTAAAAATTAAAGAAAAACTACGACAAGGTTTTCAATATTTTTGAGGTTCTCCCTTTATCAGTATGAAACTCGTCTCATTCATAATTAAAGTTAAAATTCCAATTTTATTAAACTTTTGAAGGTTTTCCCTCTCTACCTATATGGGACGATATACGTTTTCTAAAATTAAAACACCGCAAACAGGCTTTCCTTTAATTTGTTCCACTAGTATGAGTTCAAAATTAAAGGCAAACTGATAGGTCAATACAAAAAAAAAGTAAAATTTCCATTTACAAGTATAGGACGATTCTTCTCGTCAAAAATTAAAGCAAAACCACCAAGGTTTAAAAAGAACCTGGTAAGGGTTTCTTTTTTCCACCCACAACCAGTATAGAACGAATTTCTTCAATCGAAATTAAAGGAAACCAAGCACAGGCTTTATTTAAATTAATGCTTTTCCGACTACATTCATGAAGCGACGTCTATCTAATTAAGGGAAAAAATAACCAATTATATGTCTGGTGATTCTGGTCCGCCTTCCCGTAATTTCTCAAAATAAAAAACTACCAATGTCTCAAAACGATATAGCTTTTTTATTCGATCATATATATGGAACGCAACATCTCATCCAAAATAGGAGAAAAATATCACCGAATATGTCAGACGAAGTCGAACATTCCTTTAATTTCCCACATTCTTGTATGAGAAGTCCTCTCACTCCTAAAATTAAAAGAAAATACCAAATTTATAAAAAATATTTTTTTAAAATGATTGTTTTTTTTATGAGAGGGACGATTCCTTTTCCATTAATTTTCCACCACTAATAAGAGTTCAAAATTAAAGGAAAGCTCCTCGACCAGCATGAGACGATCACCTAATCAAAAATGCCATGATTTAAAAAAATAATAAGGCTTTCATTCTACCAGCATGGGACGACTCGGATTAGCCGAAATTAAAGAAAACCCACATCAGAGGCCTTAAAATAAAAAGCGAGTCTCGACCTCTTCAACAAAATTTTCGAAAACATTTAAGGATTTTCCTTTAATTTCCATCCATACTGTCCAAAATTAAAGGAAGTCCTAAAAAATGTAAGGCTGTGGTACCAAAATTAAGGAAAAATGCCATAATTAAAAAAAATAACAAGGCTTTCATTCTACCAGCATGTTTTATAATATAAATACCAGATAAAATACCAAATGATGGGGTTCTTCTGTCAATGTTTAAAAATGAAAATAAACCAAACAATAAATCACTTGACCTCCCGGATCGGCGGTTGACCAACGGAGTGTCGAAATTTCTAAATATAAAGGAGGAAAATATTTCCACGGAGACAAATCATGAATTTTTGTGCGTAATAAATGGATTAATTAATCATTAGACATTAATTATTCGTTGAAGAAAAAAGCTGCGAGAACCGTCGGACTGGGTGAAAATTAAATTTTGTTCAATTTAAAGAGCTATGCAGGTCCTTGAACGTGATTTTTTTTTATTGCTGTTTTATTTTTGGTGAAATTTTGAGTTTGTGTGGAAAATGAGTCTGTCAGGAGCGAGACGGTGCGGACCGCCAGGGGGGCGGCGGCCAGTCTGTCCGTCCTGGTCGGGGCTCTCGCGGCCCTTTTCCTTAATCCAACCACTCACCTCCTTGAAGTCATTCTACGACGAGGGCGGCGGCCCGGGGAGGGAAAACAACTCAAGGAAGAATTCAAGGAAAGACCTCAGAGAGCCTAGGAGAGAAATGGCATAATCCCCGAAAGGCGTTACCTCCCCGCGGCCTATGGGCGAAACCTCAAGACAGTGCTGCCACGAGGGGAGAACAAGACGAAATTTCCCTCCACGTAGCACTCCAGGAGAAAAAACACGTATTCAAACTATATTCAGTTTTTCTTTTTGTTATTGGATGGATATAGATAAGAATCTGGTTATAAAAACTTCGTAAGCTTTTCCAACTTTTTATTTTTCATGTAGATATATTTCAAGGTTCTTTCCGCCTCCTCAATACAGTTTTGCTTTGAGAATCGTCAGTTGAAACACAATAAAAATGTACTAATCTGCGAAACGGCTATTCAAAATTTCGATCAATTTTTACGAAAGTTGAAAAAAAAAAAAAAAAAAAAAACCTTTAATTTTTATCCTGATGTCAGTGTGAAGAAAAATTAAAGGAAACTTTGCTTTCTTCTTTTACTACTAAACATGTCGCCAACAAATAAACGTACAAAAGTAGAACGAGGCATAATAAGAACGTTACTGATGGTTAATCATAATAATCATTGACTAACGGTCACTAAACCAGCACACATTATAAGAACAATGAAGTTTAGACAATAAAATTATTTGTTTTACCTTTATCCTACAATTTGCTATTTTCGTCCATGAGACTACGACAATTATTTCCTTCGAGAGAAATATTTAATTAAATTTTATAAAAATCATCAGGACAACCATCAATGTCAAGGATGTACCAGAATAAATAGAAGTTATTATTTGGTTTTAAATATAAATCACTTTTAATGATTGAATCATAAGAATAATCATCAACATAAAGGCTCAAATTTTTTTAGAAAAGATTCAGGGGCCTAGCCGTGAATTGAAAAGAGAAAATTTTCGACTGTACGGGTCCAGTCACAAAACAACAAATTCCAAAAGTTGTTCAAAATGTATCGGCTTTGTTTCAAAACTAACTGGGTTCTGGTCCCATCAGGAAATCGAAAATTTCTTTTTTTCCCTGAATGGTGAAACTGTGCGGACGCGTAAAAGAAACGAATTGCGTGATTTTATTTTAAGCTGAGCGGAAGGAAAATTTCGATCTTGATTTAAAGTGGCAGGTATTCGGCGGCGGCCCCTCCACAAATGGAAACTTCTCTCTCTGACTAGCGAGACTGTACGGATCCAGTCACAAATCAACAAATTCCAAAAGTTGGTCAAAATATATCGGCTTTGTTTCAAAACTAACAGGGTTCTGGCCCCCTCAGCAAAGTGAAATTATAAGCTGACTGAAGGAAAATTTCGCGGCTTTACATTAAAAATTACTAGGGTAGGTTCGGAAGCTTCCCCTCCGAAAATTTCCTCCCTCTCTCTCTCTCACTAGCGAAATTATACGGACCCAGCGACCCAAAACGAGCTGAGATATATAAGATATAAAGAGATTATATACTGAGACTGAAAAAATTTCATCTGTGCTTAGAAAGTTTAAGAACTAATTGAATTCGGCGGCGTCCCCTCCGCAAATTAAACACGAAAATTATGTTTTTATAACTGAATTGCGAGACTGTACTGACCCAAAGTAAGAAAATCGGGTTGCGTTATTTTATTATAAGCTGATATGGGATGAAAATATCGGCTTTGCTTTAAAAGTAGCAGGAATGTACTCAACGGCGGCCACTCTACAAATTGAAAGTGAAAATTTCCTCCCTCTTTCTCTCTCACACTCTCTCTAACTAGCGAGCCTGTACGAATCGAAAGTAACAAAAAATGTTCGGCTTTGCTTATGAAGGTACAGGACTGATTGCATTCGGGGATGGCCCCTCCACAAATTGAGTATTTCTTCTCTCGCTGACTAACGAAACTGAACAGACTCAAAATAACCATACTTGGACATTTTTGTTCAAAAATTTGAATAATTATATGAATAAAGAGGAGTAGGATAAAGAGTGAAAATGCTTCGAACAAAGCGAAACTGACGGACAAAAAAGGTGTCGTGTATCAATGTATGTATAAATACAATAATATATATATCATACATACACGCATTTTTAATTTTCTAATTTAAAAAATAATTTGTAGATTTTTAACCACCAATCGCTGTGAAATAAATGGCACTACCGAATAAGAGCGGACAAAGGGAGACTACGGACAGAAAAATGATACGTAATTTAACTTTTAAGACATATTTTCCATAGATACGCATGGACCCCGTGAAGCTTTTTTCCTTCCCAGTCCTATTGTAAAAATTCAGCGAACCAAGCGAGACTGTACTGACACACATTAAAATTATGTTGGTAAGATTTAACTTGTAGATATTAATTTGAAGAATAATACAGTGTTACCATAAGGACGGGATATTTGATGAGGCTGATTTCTCCCTCTTAGATGAAAAAACAGTTGACAAGCGAGACCGTGCGGACCAACTTTCTTGGAAAAATAATATTAATATGTGGAATAAAATGTATTAAGCGATGTAAATTGGAAATTTATTTTTTGCGGGAAAAACAGTGTTGCCAGAGCCTAGATATGGAGGCCGATTTCTCCTTTCTTAGGTGAAAACCAGCCAACAAGCGACACCGCACGGACCAACATTCTTGAACGACTTATAGTAGAACGGGAATAATATAAATCTTTTTGCTAAATATTAAGCGTTGGAATAATTTTCGTTGGAAAAACATGGTTAATTCATGCTTGGACATGCGAGGTCCGAATGATTTATCCCTTAAGTGAAAACTAGTAAACAAGCGAAACCATACGGACCATTATTTATTAGAAAAAATGACAATAACAGTACAAAATTATATTAAGGTTTAAAAATATAGGCTTTGTAATTTTTTTTTTAAAGGTAGAGGTGAAAGTTTGGCAATATGGAGATTGATTTCATGCTTTTAGGTGAAAACCAGTAAACAAGCGAAACCATACGGACCATAATTTATTAGAAAAAATGACATTAATAACCATAGAAAATTACATAATATTAAGGTTTAAAAATATAGGTTTTGTAAATTAAATTTTTTTAAAGGGGGAGGTGAATGTTTGGCGATGTGGAGACTGATTTCATGCTTTTAGGTGAAAACCAGTAAACAAGCGAAACTTCACGTATCAACGTTCAAAGAAATATGATTATTGATGGTAGAACCGTATGTGGTTGAGTTGGAAATTTGAAATTTATCTTGTTGAGGGAAAACAGTTGCCACGTGCGTAGAAATAGCGAGAGGTTATCTGGTCCGTATGATTTCTTATGTGAAAACCAGTAAACAAACAAAATCATACGGACCAATCATTATTAGTAAAAATTATATTACTAACAATAAACGTATATAACTAATTTTAAAAAACAGGCTTTGTAAATTTGATTTTTTTAAAGGTAAAAGACAGTGTTTCCATAAGCCTTGATATACAGACTGATTTCATGCTCATTTAACTTTTAAGACATATGTTCCATAGTTATGCAGTCACCAGTTGCACATCGGCCCGTGAAGCTTTTTTTCTTTCCCTGCCCTATTGTAAAAATTCAGCGAACCAAGCGACTTTACGGACACACATTAAAATTATGTTTCTAGTAAGATTTAACTTGTAGATATTAATTTAAAAAATAAGGCAGTGTTACCATAAGGACGGGATATTTGATGCGGCTTTCTCTCTCTTAGATGAAAACCAGTTGAAAAGAGAAACCGCGCGGACCAGCTTTCTTGGAAAACTAGTATGTATTAATATATGGAATAAAATGTATTAAGCTATATAAATTGGAAAATTGTTTTTGCGGGAAAAACAGTGTTGCCACAGTCTAGATATGTAGGCCGATTTATCCCTTTTTAGGTGAAAACCAGCCAACAAGCGACATCGCACGGACCAACGTTCATGGACGACTTGTAGTAAAACGAGAATAATATAAATCCATTGTTAAATATTAAGCGTTGTTAAGATTTAATTTGTGTTGGAAAAACATTGTTACTTCATGCTTAGACATGGCAAAATCCGAATGATTTCTCCCTTAGGTGAAAACCAGTAAACAAGCGAAACCGTACGGACCATTATTTATTAGAAAAAATGACATTAATAACCACAGAAAATTACCTATTAGTATGGTTAAAAATATAGGTTTTGTAAATTTTATTTTTATTTTTTTAAAGGGGGAGGTGAATGTTTGGCGATATGGAGACTGATTTCATGCTTTTAGGTGAAAACCAGTAAACAAGCGAAACTTCACATACCAACATTCAAAGAAAAATATGATTATTGATGGTAGAACCGTATGTGGTTGAGTTGAAAATTGGAAATTTATCTTTTTGAGGGAAAATAGTTGCGTGGACATAACGAGAGGTTATCTGGTCCGAATGATTTCTCTCTTATGTAAAACCAGTAAACAAACGAAACCATACGGACCAATGTTTATTATTAAAAATTACATTACTAACAATAAGAGTATATATCTAATTTAAAAAACAGGCTTTGTAAATTTGATTTTTTTAAAAGGGAAAAGTGTTACCGTAAGCCTTAATATATAGACATTTCATGCTCTTCGGTGAAAATAAGTTAATTTAACTTTTAAGACATGTTCCATAGTTATGCATGTCACCAGTCCTATTGAAGCTTTTTTCTTTCACCGTCCTATTGTAAAAATTCAGCGAACCAAGCGAGACTGTACACACATTAACTGACACATTAACATTACTGGTCACACATTAAAACTATGTTTATCGTAAGATTTAACTTGTAGATTGCTTTCTTAATTTGAAAAGACAGTGTTGCCATAAGGACGGGATATTGGATGCGGATTTCTGCCTCTTAGATGAAAAAACAGTTGACACACGAGACCGTGCGGACCAAGTTTCTTGGAAAAATAGTATTATTAATATGTGAAATAAAATGTATTAAGCGATGTAAATTGGAAATTTATTTTTTTTGGGGGGAAAAACAGTGTTGCCACATGCCTCGATATGGAAGCCGATTTCTCCCTTCTTAGGTGAAAACGAGCCAACAAGCGAAACCTTACGGACCAACGTTTTTGGACGACTTGTAGTAGAACGGGGGAATAATATAAACCCATTGTTAAATATTAAGCGTTGGAAAGATTTAATTTTTGTTGGAAAAAAATTGTTACTTCATGCTTGGGACATGGCGAGGTCCAAATGATTTCTCCCTTTGGTGAAAACCAGTAACTAGCGAAACCGTACGGACCAATATTTATTAGAAAATGGAAATTACAGTGCTGCCGCGATATGTCTACTGATTTCTCCCTTCTAAGGATAAAAACCAGTGTCTGACAAGTGAGTCTGTACGGACCAACTGTTCTTGTTACAATAAACTCGACTTATACATTTTGTATAAAATGAAAAACCTGTTAAAACGAGGTTTTAATAAAGGTTATTTTTTATAAATTATGGTCAGTTTTTAAGAAAACAATTTATTTTTTCTAGAAAATTTTACAATTTATTTACATAAATTCTACTTTTTCGTGAAGCGCCTTGACTCTCCAAAAGGCCTAAAAAGTTGAGATTTTCTTTTTTATTTGTTTAATGGCTTAAATAAACTTTTGTTAATAAAAATTTGTATACCTGATTTTTTTTTTTTTTTTTTTTTGGTTTTTTTTTTTTTTTTTATTAACAAAATTATAATAAAAGCAAAGTAAATGTAAATTTTTTGTAGGTTTATTGTTTAATAGAGGACGCCGTATCGACGAGCAAGTCTCTGCCTTCTGACAGCAGCTCCTCCTCCTGCCTCTTCCTCGACGCTTTTCTCTCCGGTAGGGTGTACATGAAGTAGGACGCCACCCGAACCCCGAAAACGCACATGCCCCCCGCCGTCAATGTGATACAGCTTAACACGAATATCTTGTGAAGACGATCCGCGAGCTTTGGACGCATCTTAAAAGAGCTTATTCGAAACGCGGGTAACAGTCGATGGAGGTTTCACTGATAACCGATAACACGGGAAGGTTGCGATCAGGTGGAAATGTAACAGTTGCGGGAAGTTCCGGCCCGATGGCCTACGAGGGGCCGCCGGCGAAGAGGGTCCGTCGTGACGAATCGATGGACGGTAAATTTCCTTTAATTTTGATCATATTGGAAAAAAATCTGTATAATAGTAATGTTGGGTGGGGTGGGGGTTGCTCCTTTAGTTTATATCCCTGGGAACCTTACTACATTGGCAATTTCTTTTTCTATATTGTGCTTAAAATAAATAAATACATGTTTTCTTCAAATTTAGCTTTGTTTCCTGTACACTTTTTAATTTATGTTTTTCATAATTTTAAAAGAGCACTCGGTCTAACTTAACTTGCGGCGGCGGGGGGGTTCCTTTAATTTATATACCAGGGAACCTGACTACATTGGCAATTTCTTTTTCAATATTGTGCAAAAAAAAAAAAGAAATTATTTGTGATTTTCTTCAATTTTAGCTTTGTTTGGTTATACAAAATTTTTAATTTATGTTTTTCACAATTATAAAAGAGCACTGGTTCAAACTTGTTAAGTAACTTGCGGGGGCTCCTTTAATTTATGCCCTAGGGAAGCTGACTAGATTAGCAATTTCTTTTTCAATATTAAGCTTCAATATTTGTTTTTCTTCAATTTTAAGTATAAAGTTTGTGATTTGTTATTCACAAATATAAAATGGTTCTAATTTAACTTTGGGGGGGGGGGCTCCTTTAATATAATCCCAGGGAATCTGACTATATTTGTCATTTATTTTTGAATGTTGATTTTTTTTACAAGTTAGTATTTGGTGAATTCAATATTTACATTGTTTGACTGTAATAAAATTTTTATTTTATCCATATATATATTTAGTAGGCACAATTAATAGTCAGTTATGACTACTAAATATGGATCATTGTCATTACAGTACATACTTTGCTAAATAGCTTCCTGTGGTCACTTAATAAGTATAAATAAAAATAAAAGTATAATTAATTAATGTCATTCATAATTGCAAACAAAACTCCTTTAATACCTGGTTTATTAACAGTGGACATCCAGACGCCGCTCCAGTTTGCAGACAATGGTAAGACTGTTTTTATTAAATTTAATCTCTTGTACTTACAGTTAATTTTTTGTTTGGTTTACTTGTTCTAGAAGACTTTGTGGTATAAGGTTTGAAAAAATGTTAAAAGGTTTTTTGTGTGTTAATTTTTGACTATGGTCAGCCAGGGACATTAGACGAAGTGAAGTCGTACATGACCACGTTGGTTGCAGGCAGGTCGTATTACATGTACCGCAGGCCTGCAGGTCACACATACGTCTCTCTGCTCTCGCCTAAGGTGATTTTTCTTTATTTCTCGTTATAAAAAACTACATTAATTTTTTTTAAAGGACTGGAACGACAGACCACCGCATGATTTCATAACGGCGATCAGGTACGAAGGCAATTTCGTCTGGACGAAAGTTGATGATTGATGAAACAGTCCAACATGACAATAGTAAAAAAAAAAGGTACAAATTTATTATTAAAAAAAAAAAATATATTATTTTTTCTGCAAAGCGTCAGTTAAGAAATATTATTTGATTATGTTAGTCACATATTTTTCGACGAGATTTAAAAAAAAAAAAAAAAAAAAAAAAATACTATATTGAGACAGTGAGAAAGATTGATTAAAATAATTTTGTGAGTATTGTAATTTACAGTTTCGACATTTTGCCATCTTCAGTGTGTGTTTCTGGGCGATGTGATGTCATACATTAAAGACACCACAAGAAAGGGCACTATTCATTATGACGATGAGGGAGGATGTAAGAGGACGAATGCCTGCATGGAGGCTCAGAAAAAGGAAGGGGGGAATGTCACTGTAAGAGACAGGCGCTACAGAGGAGGATTGCCACACGGAGACTCAGCAGGATGAGGGATAACCGAAAGAGACTGCAAAACTGCTCACCAAGAATATGGATTCCCCAGATATCCCTATAAAAACAGGAATGAGAATAATTTCTTCCTTAAAAACTTAAATTTGTATAATTAAAAAACATGTATATTTTTTAATGTAAAACTTTTATTTTTCTTATATAAGAAACATTTTTATTATATCAAATATTTTTTTGTTTTGAAGATTTTTGTTTTGAAGATTTTTGTTTTGAAAGTGCTGTTGCTGTTGTTGCCAGCCTTTATGTTGGCCAACGCTCCATCCTTTAATTTTTGCCTTAGTACATAGAGGTGATAAAGGTCATCATTTAAGAGAAAGTTAAGAAGAGGCTCCCTTCAATTTACAACATTGGTGAAAGGTCGTAAAATTTGAGGCACCATCCTTTAATTATGCATTAACGACATGATGGAAAATTAAAGACAATATGTGCAACCATCCTTTAATATGTTCAGCATCGCATTAGCAACCTGAAGATACTATGCAACATCATCTGTTAAATTACACTGGATTAAACAGGCGATTAGGTCATAAATTGAAGACATTGTGATGCTACATCCTTCAATTTATGTGTGACATTGGCAACCAGGTCATATATCCTTTAATTTATGCAATACTGTTAGCAATGCGAACGGAAGTTGAACTAGGCAAAAAGTGAAGGTTCATTCTTTAATTTATGCCATATATTGTAGGTGATTATGTCAGTAATTAAATACACAAAATGAGACTATTCTTTTCCTCCATTAATTTATGATTTGAACAGTCATGATAAGGCGATAAACTTGAGATTTGTTCATTTATGCACTTCAGCGATTCTGACATAAATTAAAGACGAACATGCGATAAGAAGTTTCATCCTTTAATTTATGCCTTATTATCCATTAATCCAAAGTCAGCCAGCAGATAAAAAAAAAGTAAAAGCTACAGATTTTTGTTGAAATTTTTATTTTTATTACACAAATCTGTACAAATTTTGTTGACGGGCAAGACCAATCGTCGGCGTTGTACAATCTTTCTAATCGAAAAACAAACTTAATCGGCTTATTATTTTTGCCGTGAGAAAGGTCGCCGTCTGATTAAAACCTATTTCAATAAATTTTGCCTGTTATATAAGGACAATGATAAATTTATATAAATATAACATACGATATAATTTTGTACGATGGGAAAAATATATATATATACGTAGGACGAGTTGTTTTTGTGTCGTTAAATCCTCGAGTTTTAAGTATCACCTTCTTTGGCTTCGTTCAGCTTGCGCTTTTTCCTTTTGATGTCAGCCAGCGTCTCTTCGATGGATCTGTGGTCTTTTTTGTTTTCGCTAGGAACTGTTTACACACACAAAAAAAAGAAAGAAAAAAACAATAAAGAATTTTTTTCACATGATTGTTTTGGCATACCAAAACCATACTGCTTATTTGTCTGCGTGACTTTGGCAGCCTCCTTCGCGACCTCGGTGCCGATCAGGTGCTCATATTTCTTCGTGTAATTCGAGTTCGGTATGAACTTCTCCACTTTCTTCTTTTTACGCCTCACCTCGTCCTCAATGGCGTCCAACCTTTCCTTTTCCCTCTGCCGACAAATTAATTATATATGAATAATTACTTTTTACAATAGATATATACCTGAGCGGCAATTTCTTTGCGTTTTTCTTCCGTCCACTCTTCGCCACTTCTGAGTACGGCGATCTCGTCATCGCAAGGGGGAAACTCTTTCTTGAACAGCATTATGTATCTGTCAACGCCTTCCTGGCCGAACGAAAGGCTCGTGACGCCCGCCTCCTCGGAAACCTCGTGTCTAAAAGCATAAAAGTAATATTTTTATCAATCGTATATTAAAGTAAAGGGCCGACCTCACATGACTGCCCTGAAGACCTGCTCCATAGGCGGATACTTGAGCCTCAACCTATTTTGGTCGGCGAGGAAATCAGTGATGTGCCTCTGCACCTGGACACAAATATAATTTTATTATTGATTTCATAATAGGCCATATATTAAGTAATACTGGTTTGAGACTTTCTGATTGTTATTGCATGTACATACAAATGTTAACACATAAGATGTGAACAGCAAACAAAAAAATTAACACACATGTACACAAAAGGATATTTGACGAACGAATTACGATTCAGTCATTTTGCGGTCTTGTGACCATTCGGCACTTGTACAGATCAAACTAATCAACTATGATATAAATATATGAATCAGAACACCATGAAACAGAAAACAAACACATATGTATATACATTCTATACATACGTATGAGTATGTGTAAAATCAACTTCTTACATCTGTAACCATTATTGAAACCTCTCTGTTTTTATGTTTAACCAATTGACCCTCCTTTATGTACGTTAACTTTTAATATTTATTTTTTAAATGGCTTATGACCCTTGACTAGCATATTATAACACACTGTATACACATTAAAAAATCAAACAAAATTAATTTCACTAACTGTTACTGGACGAACTTCCAGTAACAGTTAATGAAACCTCCCTGTTGCTGTCGACTATTTATATTGGTATTTACTGTTTATTTTACCCTTCCTCAGTGATATACAGATCAAATGAATATATCACATACACATAAATGCATACTTAAAAGAAAATAAATTCCCTATTGTTTGGACGAATCTGTCACCATGTAACAGTCGTTGAAATCTACCTGTTTCTAAGTCCTTCCATGGTTGACTTGTGAAGCTTTGGAGTTGTGGAGGAGAAATGAACATGCAATATACTCATAAACATAAAAAATTAAAAACTAAAGTAATTTTACTGGATGTCATTGGGACAATTTCTTGCCCCGTAAGAGTTGTTGAAACTTCCGTTTTGAAACAAAGAACTCCTGTAATTCTGTACATTCTCACCATATAACAGTCATTGAAACCTCCTTGTTCTATGTGTACCAACAAGTCAACTGACTGTATATACAGTATTTTATTTTATTTCATTTTTTTATGATGATACAATTCTACCCCAACACTCATATAAGTATATGTATCTGTACGGAAGGAATTATTGTATAAAAGAAAGCATTTTTAACCGTCCATTGAAGGTTATACGGAATAAACATTCTGAGGGTTTGACAGATTGAAAACCAGCTACATGTTTGTTCATTTCTGGCAAACCTAGAAACCAAAAATATTAAAATTTGACCTTCTACGATACCAATATGCATATGGCAAAACCGATGGTAATTTATTGTTGTAAGTTAAAATAAATAGCAACAGCTCTCTTTTGTAACCTTCCACAGAGGCTTTTACAGGTTTTTTTTTTTTTTTTTTTTTTTTAAGTTTAATACATTTCATATTGTAAACGACCGTCATTTTCTGGATTTATCGACCATTTGTTTTTATTTGGGACAAACAGACGTATTAGAAAGATGTAATTTAATGCAAAAATGCAATTTTAAGGCAACCTCCCCTGTTGAGGATTTGTGAGATTATAAGGAATTGTTAAGGATACTTGTTTGACGGAGTGAATCGTGTTCTTTGTAAACCCAAGAAACGAAGGAATTAATGGAGTCACTAATTATATTGCCATCCAAAACAGTAATAAAGTCTAATTATTGAAATGTATTGCTAAAACATGGTGCAATCTGATAGAAAAAAGGTGGGGTGGGCTTGCCAAGATTGGGCCAGTGGCTAAACCTGGAAAAAATTCATTTTAGCACAGCTAAAGGTCATCAGAGCGAATTGTAACTTAATTAAAAAGAAAGAAAAATAAAGCTGAAAGCTTTTATTTGAGATTTATGATCTCATACCATTCTGATGCACTTAATTAGGCAAAATAACGGTGGAAAATTAAATGGAATAAATGTCTGTTGCCCAAGGGCAAACTATCAATTCTACTTACTTAATATAACGGAACGTTTATTATAACGAATTATTTAAATAAATCAATAGGTGGAGGTTATATTTTTGAACTGTTGTACAGCTCCTTATGGTTGGTGACATATTTTATATCAATATTCCAGCTTTATGGAATATCTTTCTAATGGTATCCAGTAGGTGTATTGTTGTAAGGAATGGTTCAAAACAAGCTACTCGATACCGCATTTACTGTTATACGGTTCACACTATTCAAATTGGATCGGGCATTAATGTAATATGTATGAAAGATAGATAGTGGTTGTATATCACCTTTTCTCTAAATTTCCTCAGCATGTCTCTCTCCTCCTCCTGCTTCTTTTTCATCGCCATCTTCTGCCCTGTAAAATCACCCCAAAAAGTTTTTAATTAATAATTACGTTTTTTCTTTATAAGAGAGAAATGGTATAAAAATAAAATCGGGACGCCATTACTTTTCATCTCTTCTTTTTGTTTTTCCGTGACGGCAGGCGGTTTCTCCATTGAGTCGAGGATCGAGCCGAGGAGGTCCATTTCTTGGGGGCCGATTTTACAGTTTTGGACGTATTTTTTTCTTTTTTGTTGGCCGGTTGTCCAAATGGATTTTGGCCGTGAAAACAAACTGAACTATAGCATGGATAAACAGAACGGAGGTTGCAAGCGGCAAGGTAAGCAAGTACTTTTGCCGCTCACGGGAGGCACTACTGCGCCACTTAGCAGTTGTTTTCACCGCCAAAAATTCGAAATTCTCAGTTTCCAGCCTATTTAAAAAAAAAAAAATTAAATCAAATCTAAACATTAAAAATCTATTTAACATCGTACAATAAGCTGTTCAGCTCAGCTGCAGTGCTCAGGAGGGGGGAACAAATGTAGTATAGATCAACAGAAAAATCTGTAAAAAATATTTTCCTCTTGGAAAAGTACATGGAAATGAACAAAAGCTGCGCCACAGTGGAGATGTTTTCGCCGCCTAAATTCGAAATTTTCCCCCCAGGTTTTTTTTTTTTTAATCAAATCTAAACATTAAAAATCTTTTTAATGTTTATAAATATTGAAGGTAGATCAAGAGAATCATCTGTGAAAAAATATTTTCCTCCTGGAAAAGTACATGGATAGGAACAAAAGCTGCGCCGCTTTATGTTCGTTGTTTTCGCAGCTAAAATTCGAAATAAGGCTTATTTTTTTAAATATTTTAAATCAAACTGAAACATTAAAAATCTTTTTAATGCATTTCACTGTTGAGTGTATAGATCAGTAGAAAAATCTAGAAAAAATATTTTCATGGTTCAGTATTCAATTCAGTACAATGAACAAAAGCTGCGCCACTTCGCAGATGTTTTCGCCGTCGAAATTTCCGTCCCAAGGCTTATTAAAAAAAATTCATATCTGAAATTCAAACCTTTTTAATGTTTTTAATTATTGAGGGTAGTATAGATCAGTAGAAAAATCTGGCAAAACTATTTTCCTCCTATAAAAGTACACGAAAGTAACAACAAAAGCTGCTTCACTTTGCGGATGTTGTTTTCACCGCCAAAATTCGAAACTTTCAGCCCCAGGGGCTTATCAAAAAGTAAAATAAAATAAAATCTAAACAGAAAGAGATTTTTAATGTTTATGATTATTGAGTGTAGTATTATACATACCAATAAAAAATCTGGAAAATAGGGGAAAAATGTTTTTCTCCTATAAATGAACATGGAAATTAACAAAAGCGTTGTTTTCGCCGCTAAATTTCAAAATTATCCGACCCTGACCTATATAAAAAAAGTATTTTTTAATCAAATCTCATAGTTAAAAATACTTTAAAATGGAAGGCCAGGTTTTGTCATATCGGTGAATTTTATATTACAAATGTGATATCATCACCTTCAATTCATAATAAATTCTTTATTCGGCATTTCCTCACACCAATAAATATTTATGAGACTATCATTGTAGGTATATGTTATACAAATACCATAACTTCAAGGGTTTAGGTATTTTAAAGTAGAACATTTCATACGCTATAGTATGAAGAAATAGTCAGATTCGGCAGGTTATAATAATAGGTTAATCTTCACAGTAAAAAAAGAAGAAAAAAATCATACAAAGAAAACAAACTTTCCAGCATGAAAGCTATAGTAAAAAGAGAAACACCACAGGAAAAATCAGGCTAAAACAGTGTTATAATCTTCCAAGCAATCGTCGACTAAATAAATTCACAACCCTCGGTACTAAAGGTCCAAACAGTAAGATCATGGACACGTGCGAGATCGTTAGAAACAGTCGAAGGGCGGTAAGTTATAACAACGTGTTATCCTCCATAGAACTATAAAAAAGATCAAGATTTGGAGGGGAATACAAGTTTTATATTCAGTAAGTTGGGAGAGAGATATGTATTATCATAACCTTCAAGGGTTTAGGTATTCTTAGACCGAACCTTTTATATCTGTAGTATGAAGAAACAGTAAAACGCTGTAGGTTATATCAATGTGTTAACCTCACAGCGAAAAAATCAAACGAAGAAAACATTTTGCAAGATGAAAGCACATGATAAAAACAGGAGAGGAAAAGCACCTCAGGCTGAAACAGTGTTATAACCTTCCACGAATTGATCTTATTTGGCATGTACGGTCCAACTGTAGGAAGAACCGGAGTAAGATTAACATTGTTGGAATCAGTCTAAGAGCGGCAGGTTATAACAATGCGTTAACTTCCAAAGAACTATGAAAAGGGTAAGAGATCAAGATTGAAAGGGAGGATAGTTTTTATTTTGCTACATGAAAGGTATAATGATAAGGATAAGGAAAAGTTTGACACAGCATGAATACACTTTCATAATTTTTTTTTCAGTGCTAGAAGAGAGGTTACATCTATGATTTATTTTATCCAAACACTGGATCTCAATAATTCGGGAGCCTTATTTTTAATTGATCGACAGCACTCCTCCAGTTTTTAAGTCACGATTTGTTTAAGTTAGAGAGGAGGAGGTAACAACATTGTAATAACCTCCCCCCCACCACAAGTAAAGTTATAGCACAACATCAGCACCTTTCCACTAAGGAAAACAGATGATTCTTCAATAATTTTTGGTAGTACTGAACTTGATTCAGTTAGAGAAGGGGAGGTTATAACATTGTAATAATATAACCTGACATCCCCGTAAAGTTATAGCACAACACCAATACCTTTCCATCAAGGAGGCAGATGACTTATAATGACCACAGTCATTATTTTGTTCAGTGCTAGTAGTAGTTATGACTATGCTGTGTTCTAACCTGACATCAATTTATGTCACCAGATCAAGAGCCTGTTTTTTTAATTGATCGAAAATACTTCTCCATTTTTTCGTCACTATTTTTTTTTTTAATTTTTTTTTAAGTTAGAGGGGACGAGGTTACAACTTTGTAAAGATATAACCTGACCCCCTCCCGAAGACAATTTTATGTCTTTTGACCGTGTTCAGTGGGTAATAAATTGATATTTTGAAACTAGGGGAGGTTCAAATAATCAAACCTCCCAACTGCACTTTTGTTGACAAACTTAAATGGGCAAATGGAGAAGCACGTCCAAAACGGAGCTTTTGTGGTGATGTTTTTGAAATAGGTTGTTTTATAGGGATGTAAGTTTTGGGAGGGCTTTTGAGACCCGGGAGAGCACTGCTATTAAAGGCGGACGACTGTGACGGCCACATGGTGCGTCAGACCAATCACAACCGCGCGCCACAGGTTTTCAAAGATGGGTCGGAAGGTTCGAATAAAACTGGGAGGTTTATAACAAAAACGTTATAATTAGTAAAATAAAAGTACAAAATAATTTCTTTGCGGGGTTTTTCTCTTATGTCACCCTAACCTAGGCTCTTGGGGTTTGGCATATTTATACAAAAACGTTCAATTTACACGATTTCTCTTTTCACCCGTTATTTATACAGTTGTATAGGTTGGTTATATACAAGGTTTTTTTTTTATAAAATTGAAACCTTCTTATGGTTGGACTTGGTTATTGTTTTTTTGATTTCGTTCTCGCGAAGTCGAGTGCGTCTATGTTCTCGTACTCTGGGTGTGCTGCGTCGTCGTAGTAGGCGTAGTCGTACTGTTCTTTTTCTTTGGCCTCTTTCGCAGGGACTGGGCTAAGGGTTGTGAAAGGTCTGGGCTTCTCGGTCGCGTCGGTCTGGTGCGCCGCTGAACCCCTACCCTTCGCGGGAGTCGAGTTGGGTATGAAGAAGTTCTGCTGAGGCCTGGCAGTCGTCGGGTTGAAGAACTGCTGCTGGAAGGCTTTCTGCGTCGTCTGCTTCTGCGTTTGCTGCCTCTGAGTCGTTGGGTTGTAGTTCTGCGTCGTCTGTGGCTTGGGGGTCGTCTTCTGGGTCGTAGACGGGCTTATGAAGTTGTAGCTCGAGGAGACGGACGCGTTGAACGTCTTATAACTGTTCTGGACCCTGTTGAAATTGCTAGCGCCGAGGTTCTGGCTCGGGGCCGTCTTGAGGAACTCGCCGTTGCTCGGCTCGTCATACTGGTTCGCGTTGTTGAACCCTTGGGTGTTGAGCCTGAACAGCTTCTGAGTCTCGTAGTTGGTGTCAACGGACTGGGCTTCGGTGGACTGTGTAGTTGGGTTGTAGAACTGCTGAGGCTTCTGGGTAGTCGGGTTGTAGAACTGTTGCTGCTTCTGGGTCGTCGGGTTGTAGAACTGTTGCTGCTTCTGGGTCGTCGGGTTGTAGAACTGCTGCTGGCTGTAAGGTTTCGCCGTAGTCGGCGGTTGCTGTCTCGTCGTCTGGAAGTTCTGCTGCTTCTGAGTCGTAGGGCTGTAGTTGAAGTTGGTCGCCTGGGCGTTGTAGTTCTGGGTATTTTCGTAATAGTTGGTCTTCGGGGGCTGGGTCGGGTTGTAAAACTGCTGCTGCTGAGACTTCTGGGTCGTCGGGTTGTAGTACTGCTGAGGCTTCTGAGTAGTCGGGTTGTAGTACTGTTGCTGAGGCTTCTGAGTAGTCGGGTTGTAGTACTGCTGCTGTTGAGGCTTCTGGGTGGTCGGGTTGTAGTACTGCTGCTGCTGAGGCTTCTGGGTGGTCGGGTTGTAGTACTGCTGCTGTTGAGGCTTCTGGGTGGTCGGGTTGTAGTACTGCTGCTGCTGAGGCTTCTGGGTGGTCGGGTTGTAGTACTGCTGCTGCTGAGGCTTCTGGGTGGTCGGGTTGTAGTACTGCTGCTGTTGAGGGTTCTGGGTAGTCGGATTGTAGTTCCTCTGATTGTAGTTCTGCCTTTGGTTCTGGTTGTACACCTCCGTCTGCCTCAAAGGAGCTTCCGTCGGTACTTTGTTGAAATTGGACGTGACCCGGTTCCTACCGGCGAGGTACGTCCTGGGCTGGCTCGTCGCATGGTATGTGGCCTTGGGCAAATAAGTCAACATTACTAGATTATAACAATCATTTAACTTTGCATCAATTCTCAAAAAGGTAGGATGCTGTGACAGATAACTTCAAAACGTTCAAGTAACACAAGATTATAACAATGCGTTGACCTCCAAAGAACTATGGAAAAGGTAAGGGATCAAGATTGGGAGGGAAGGACAGTTTTTATTTTGCAACATGAAAGGTATGATGATAAGGAAAAATTTAAGCACAACATCAACAATTCCTTTCTAATAAGAAAGACACTTTCATAGTTTTTTTCCAGTACTAGAAGAGAGGTTACGTCTTCTTAATAATTCGGTAGCCTTATTTTTAGATCGAAAGCACTCCTCCAGTTTTTACGTTACGATCTGTTTAAGTTAGAGAGGAGGAGGTAACAACATAGTAATAACCTCCCCCCACCACAAGTAAAGTTATAGCACAACATCAGCACCCTTACACTAACGAAAACAAATGACTCTTCATCCATAATTTTTGGTTGAGTTACCTCCTAGCATGCGATTTGGAAAAACCTCCGAGTTTATTCCCTTCGACATGTACGCAGGAAACTTACTTTACACGCTAACAAAAGAGAATAGTTATATCCATGATTTAACCTTCCAATACGCTGTATACGGAAGCTTACTTTAATATGGTACGATTTAATAACAATATGTTAGTGTTTCATCATATATTGGACATAGGTTCCATAATAACCTAAGATGATTGACCTTCCACTATTTACAAGTAAATCCCCATCAATTGGAACTAATTTGTAGCAACGTGGTAACCTCAAATTACAATTGAATATATCAGTTTGATAACATTTCCAACTAGACAAACATACATAAGCGGTGCTTCTTTATAACAATGAGTAAACCTCGTTCGTATTATTGTTATAGCCAGAATAGCATGTGCCTTCTAATACTTACAAGGACCATATTCAATTCTTGAAGTTAACTTGTGCTATTCTATTCATATATGCAAATGAGAATATGAATATGATTGAAAAAATAAATTCGAGGAGACCTTCCATGAGTCATTCCAGAATATAATAATGAATCAACCTCCCTGTATGATTGAACAAATAAGTTCGAAGACACATTCCAGGAGTCTTTCGAGGCTGAGTTAACCTTCCCGTATGAGAACAAGTTCGAGAAGAAAATCAAAGCTGTTTTGTTTTACCTGTGTCGTGCTGGGAATGGGACGTTTCCCGGTGAGAAGCTTCCTCACGTTCGACTTGCCGTTGGCAGGTTTCTTCTTTTTCGACTCTTCGAAGTCTTCATCTTCTTTGCCTCTGTTTTTGTTCGAAAAGAAGTTGCCGGAGTGGCTCCCTCTGTAAAGAACAGGGGTTAAGCGGAATGACTCGATGTATCGACGACATGTCAGTACCTGAGAAGATCGGAACCGACGTTCTCACCGCGGTCGTTCCTCTGCAAGTAGTCGTCGTCACGGTCCGAGACGGCGTTGTTGATGTTATTGTTGGGGAGGCGAGGGACTTCCTTCACCCTCGACGACTCGCTTCCTATCCTGTAAAGGTCGAAATTGTCCGAGTAGAAGAGGGTCGCCGCCTCGCAGTCGATGTTGTACCAGTCGTCGCATATCTGGTTCTCCTGATCGAATGACGTGTCGTTCGGACAGAGGAACTTGTAGTCCTGGACCTGGAAAAAGTAATAATGTGTCGAGTACTGGCACTTTTGGCACGGCTTTATAACACCGCTTACCCCGAGGCCGGGCACTTTGACACAGACGTGGAACATCTGGCAGTCGGTCTCGGGATCGGCGTAATAACCGCCGAGTATTTTGTCCCTGCAACTGAACGAAGTCACTGGCATCTGGTCCTGGCTGTAATTCGGCGGCCTCCTCTGCCCTATGGCTTCGGATATCCATAGCACGGAGAGCCCTGGAAAATGGGTCAAATTAGTCATTATATTAAACTACCCAGTGTAATTTTGCGGAAGGTTATAACAGTAAGTTAACACCAAACCTAACGACGTAACCTCCCGATATTCTAAGATAAGCAAGTATTGTATAACCTCTCAGGTGGCCCCATCCTACATTGTTTTAACCTCTCAATGTTGGACAGACATTTCTACACCACCATCCGACATAAACGATAGCACCATTGGATGATATAGGATATAACAATGTGTTAGCCTCCGAATGCGTAAGGACAAGCAAGTGTACTATCAACTCCAGGCTCTAACAGTGGGCTAACCTCTCAATATGTTTGGACAGAAAATTCGAAATCATCGAACATAAACGACCATGTGGCTCGAGATTATAACAATGTATTAACCTTCCAATATAAGATTTCAATAAAATCATTTCAGTGGCAGGAATTTATAAAAATGAGTTAACCATTCTATATCCTAGAACTGGCAAATGCTATATAACGTATTAGGCTACAACATCTTCCAATAAAATTGGGGATGCAAATTCAATAACACACTGTAAATGGGATAAATTTTAGCATTCCAATACCTCCACCGACATATGTGCAAGTGATAAAAACCTTCCAGGTTGATAAAGGTTATAAACTTTTGGTGTTAACCTTCTAAATGCAAAATCGATACCTAGCACGAGTTTATAACAATGAGATATGTTTGGACAAAAAGTGCGAAATCACAATCGAATCATCTATGAGTCTCGAGATTTAACCTTCCAATGACACTAATATATAACAAGGAATTAACCTTCCCTACTTCTAGGGCATGAAGTGCTATTTAACACCTAAATGTGTTTACCTTCCATTATATTGGGTATCGAAGTCCAATAACCCTCTAAGAGACATGAATTTACAATAATGAATTAACCTTCCAGGGCAAGCAAGCGATGCAAGGTTTTATATATATATATATTTAGATACGTTTTATAGTCCGAGACGTGGAAGAGTCGGAGCGAATCGCTCTCATTCTGTACAGAGGTAATCGACCTTCTGAATCAGCCACAGGCTTATTATATCTTCCAATATCCCAGGATATATAGTTGCTAAATAACCTTCTATTTCGTAACAATGTGTTAACCTTACATTATACTGGCTACAAGTTCAATAACACCCTCCGAGATTATAACAAAAATTTAACCTTCAATATATGTTGGGGGATGCAAATTTAATAACCCTCTCTAAGGGGAAGAAATTTACAACAAAGAATTAACCTTCCAATATTCCAGGATATATAGTTGCTAAAGAACCTTCTATTTCATAACAATGAATGTAACCTCACATTATACTGGCTATACAAGTTCAATAAAAAAACCCTCTAAGAGGTATATGAAGTAAGTAGCTTCTAATTTAATCTTACGGAAGATATATAGTTGTTATTTAACCATCCAGGTTGTAACAATGTGTTAACCTTCCGATACTATTCAAGTTCAGATCTCACTAAGGGGTATGAAATTTTAACAATAGAGTTAACTTTCCACTATCATCGGGTATAAGGTTATTATATCCTCTCACGCTTATATGCAAATTAATAGTAAGTGTTATAGGCATAGGGAAAATTCTTGTTATAACATTCCCAAAACTGTATTCTTGTTATATTTTCGATCACACATCATACGTGGATGCGGTAATCCCAAGAACGATTCCCATGTATAATGTGTTAAACCAAGGTGAATACGCCACACGTCAGGAAGGGACGAGAATTAACAAATTCTCAAGACCGTTCACACGATTGGCCAACCGGCACGGTTCCCAGGGTGGGAATCAATTTCGTCGCCATCGATCTTTTAGAATGCCTGCAACACGTACCCGCACTTCTAGTACAGAGACTTCTAGACCTCTTAGGTTCGTCTACCAGAAAGAAAGCTTCTTCAGCTCTGACGTCCGGGACTAAAAGACGCTCTTCTTTGGAGTGTCGGAAAGTCCGAGACGCGGAAGAGTAGGAGTGAATCGCTCTCATTCTGTATAGAGGCAATCGACCTTCTCAATCAGCCACAGGACTATTATACCTTATATATGAAATCCTGCTCGTATTTCGCCTGGTAACATCCCATGGGACCCACGTCGGGTTCCAGGCTCCACAGGATCTGGAGCGGGGGCCGGTTACGCCACCGGAAGGATGAAAGTGAAAATAGGGGAGAAGGTCAAGGACTGCCGTTCGAGCCTCCGGGGCCGAAGACGAACTGTAAAAAGTGAGAGTGGAGACCCTTCTTTCCAGGGCGAAAGGTCGGACGAGACGGATCGAGCCATGGGAAGAACACGAGTGGGACCGCTTCCGCAATCGGCCGGGGGTCACCCGAGGTTCAATATTCACATCACAGGAAGGAAAAAGAAAAAGTCACTAACTGCTAAAGAACAAAATTATTACAATGATATAACCTTTTTTTAGTGCAACATCACTAAATTGACCAGGTAAACACCGATATAGATGAAGATTTACAAGAATAACCTACCAATAAACATCACGTAAAATAATGTAATATCGGCAGACATCAAAGATTAGGGTTATAAATTCTGGCTAGGAAAATCTAGGAACTAGATGAAATATTAAATTTTGCGCGTTGGAGCGTTCAAAACCTTTTGTTTATAACAATAATGTAACCTCAGTTAAGATTCAAGCATTAGGTGCCAGGTCGAAGTTCGGTATGGAATATGTTATATCCTACTTCCGATTCCGTTAGAGATTGTCTTTTAATGATTTAAATTATAACAGCCGCATAACCTCTTAAGCCATATGTGCATAGAAACATTCATTTTTAAACTTCATGAAAACACAACTTTTATATTGGGCGAAAATGCAATTTCTGGCATAACCTCACCAGTTTTATCGAATGGTGTAACAAAATTACTATGTACAAATCCTGGCTAGTACAATCCCTACAAAGTTCAGGAACTGGATGAAAGATTATATTGAGCGGGTTGGAGCGATAGAACACTTTTACTTATAACAATGATATAACCTCAATAAGATAAAACTTAAACCTTTCGAACCCGCAAGAAATTTTCTTTTAACGACGGAAGGCTAGAACAGAACCTCCTAAACCATATATGTATAATAAATAGTATTCCCCTCCCAAAGATTCGTAACGACATTTCGGTTAAATTTAATAACCTTCAGAAAAAGATAAGTAAGTTTTTATATAAAACACGACCTTCTTGCCAGGTCGAAGTGCTGGAAAAAAGTAAAGTATTGCCAGGTTACGAACAGACAGAACAGTAAGCAAACCTAAAATACAACTGACTGACGTTAATAACCTTTCAATGCTATAACCTCCCGTTTTTATTCGGTCAGTTCCAAAGGGAAAAAATGACAATCGACGGATTGATTTAAGAGATTAATATATAATCTGAGATATTGAAATTTCAAAATGTAAAGTACCGCGAGGTTACAAACAGTAAGCTAACCTTTTCTCTCAACTTTCTGAGATATATTTGACTTATTTAATCAAAATTATGCGGGGCAACGTGTTAAGATATCTATGGCTATTGTAGTGAACCAACCTTTCAGTGTAATATATCGTTTCATGTCATAACCTCCCAATATTATCTGGAAGTTATCGATCGGCGCTTTTCTAATAATAAAATCAAAATCGGCATTGTTTAAAATATAAACTTATTAATCAATTACCCCTTCCAATATCTGAACTCTTAACAAATCAAATGGTTAAACTTACTGCGAGGTTACTAATCGCTATACTGTTATCACAGTAAGTTAACCTTCCCATATACTTACGCGTACATGTGTTGTTTCAACCGATAACCTCCCAAATTGTTAGATGTATTATCAGATGAATTATTTAATTTAAATCACTGTCCTGTTAAATATATTGCTCTCCTATCATATTGGATAAAAGCTGAGCTTAATCAAGGGCTTGTAACAGAGACATAAACTGCAATATGTATTTTGACGTAGATGACTACCTTTCAATCTACAACCTCCCAGGCTCGGGTGTGCCACTAAAACTCCAAAGCAGTAAAGTATTGTGAGGATCATAATCGAAATACTGTTATAAGGAAGCAAAGCTAGATACTTTAAACGTAAAAATATAACCTGCCAAACGATAACCTCCCAAGCAGGTCTTCTTTTCAGGCTACAACTTGATTGTGCGTGACCAATAAATTTTGACAATACTACGTACTTTTTATACCAGTAAGTCAACCTTTCAAAAAAAGCTCCGAAAATACATCTATTACAATCTCCCAGACTAATTGGACTATCAGCGAATTATTTAATTGAACCTGCGATTGAATATGTATGTTATAACAACCAAACCTTACCTTAAAGGTTATCTTTAACCTTTTTACTTTTTTTTTTTTTTTTTATTGGCCTTATGATCTTGCATATTAGCCATGGTACGAATTCTTTGTGTGTTCAAATTGGGGGTTATCGGGAAAAAAGGGCCAGAGGCGACGGTGGGAATCGAACCCACGACCGCGGCGTGAGAGTCTCTCATGCTAACCACTCGGCTACCGCGGTCCCCCACCTTTTTACCTTTAAATCAACAACCTCCCTGGCTTGGAAGAGCTGCCATTTCAAACGGGTATAAAATTACTGCAAACTTACCAATTGACATAATTATACTGTTATAAAATAAAGCAAACAACTCCATATAATTTTGGAAACATTACAACCTTCATAACCTCCCTTGTATTAAATACAATTTTAATATACACAGACAATTGTAAACAGGATAAAGTTCACAAATTTCAGAACGTGTAAGAGAGGGTAAATTTATCGGTAAAAAAAATCTGATGCGTATAACAACGATATAACCTCCGTAAATAAACAAATGTAAAACTGGAAATTCAGTTATGAAAATTGTTATAACCATCTAAATGGTTATAGCAGTGATGTAACCTAGACCCAGTGAAGAAACCTTCGAAAAGAGGGGATTACACCCTTCACCCGAATATAAACACAAAGATAACCTGCCAAGAAACAAGTACAATGATGAAACCTCCACGTTAAACAGTATCATATAGTGAAATAATCACCGACAAAAGTAAACAGTACTATTTAAGGTTGTTTGGTTAGAACTACAACAATGATGAAACCTCCCTTCAAATAGTATTACAGAATAATCGGCAAATTATAAAAGTAAGACAACCAAAGTCCCAAGTTTCCAAATAAAAACTTACGTACACTTTGTTATAGCAATGAAGAAACCATCGACGCGTTATAGTTTTCTATCTAGTGCTTAAAAAACCCCTCAGGAAAACTATAACAGTGAAATAACCTGCCAAGACACATGTAAGCTGAATTATTTACGGATCCAGATGGATATTTAGCACTAAAGATACTAACATTGACTAATTACTAACATTAACATAAGATTTGTAAAGCCGCCGGAAAAATGTTTTATTTTTTTTACGAGGGTTCGCAACGGCAGAGGTCATATAAACCCTCAGGGTGCCGGTGTTTTTGAAAAAAAGCCCATTTGTAAGTATGCCGGGTTCGAATGCAGGGCCGCTGGATTCGAACCCGGGACCTTCACCTTACAGTGATGAGCGCCGTGTCAACGACTAAACCTTGCGGCCACCGACGCCCGAAAAAATGTTATAACCGTGGAATTGCCTGACAACACATATGAACTGTGTTATTTTAGAAATTAGACTTTGAGGGAATATTAGTTAAATGATGGTTCTGTCCCTTTTTTTTTCACAAATGCTATTATAAAAATTATATGGAACCGTGAAGAAACCTTCCCAATGCCGTTTACTTTGTCGAATATTTTTGAAGGAACTTACCCAGCGTTATCCGCAGAACGAAGTTCATCTTTCTGAAACAGAAAAAAAAGAAGCCCAGTCAGTTTTTCCTCTTCTTTCAAATATAGATAAAAGGATGGATATTATAAAGAGAAGAGGCACGAAGTGAAAGGGCCGGCCGACGTTGCCCAATCCACCGGTGGATCCTCCATTGTCTCCACAGTCACGAGCGACACGATGAATTGGTAATAGGTACGGCACCGGCCAAAAGAGAAGAAGAAATAGAAAAAATATATACACAAGCATGTCATGCCAAAACCAATAGGATTAGGTACGTATTAACTACACACTTACGAAAGAAGGCAACATCGCAACATGCTTGGAAAAAGCCTTTTACTTATGAAATAAGTGATTTTGCATAACGAAAAATTGAACATTTTGAAGAAAAATAAACTCATGAAATACGTCACAAGCAGTCACTCCGACCACCTAGGCACTATGGGCTTATAAAATACGAACAAGCGTTTCCAGTTACCAAGGTAAAACACGAAATAAGAAGTTTGGTGAAAACAATTCATAATTTTACCAATGAAAAGGATTGAAACAAATTACTTATGAAATAATGTGAGGAGGTGAGCTTGCTTTTTCGAGAGATCTTTCGCATATTGAATAAGAGACATATCGGAAAAGCGTTTCACTTATGAAATAAGAAAAAGTTTTTTGTTGTTTACCCAACACAAACTTATAAAATAAGATGTTTGATATTACTGAGAGTTCTTCGTGTCAAAGAAAAAATAAAGGATTGTAACGAATAACATAATGATGAAATAGCGTAGGGGGAGTTACGGTCCGAGAAATTAAATATCGAAGTGTTGCACTTATAAAATAAGTAAAACCTTTTTTTTCTGTTTATCAAAGTCAAGAAAAGATAATGAATATGGTGTTTTATTATTTATCGGTTTTTTATGGAATTATTTTTGATATATTCCAGACTTCTTTTTGCCAATTAAAAAGTATTGGAAGAAATAAGTTATGCAATTTACGAGATATCTTTCCTATATAAAATACGTCAAATAGACATCTTGAAAAAGTGTTTCACTTATGAAATAGCTTCTTTCGTTTTCTCACGATAAACTAATAAAATAATTGGACGGATTTTTCACAGAGTGACGGAATGATTGGAAGAAATAAATTATGAAATAAAGTGGGGGGGGGAGTTGCGATTCCGGGAAATCTTTCGCATATGAAATATATAAACAGACTTCTTGGAAAAGAAATTGGATTCGCTTATAAAATAATAATAAGATTGATATTCGAGAGTTCTCGGAAATAGAAACGATTAAAGAACTTATTAAGTACGTAAAAAGAGCAAACTCAAAAGTGTTCACTTATGAAAGCATTTCTTCTACTTTCTCGAAAGTAATAGTACGAAAAAAATTTATCCAAGACGAACTTATTTAATAACAAAAAATGTTTTACTTTGAAATACCAACATTTTCCAAGCAATAGGACCGCATATAGAAAGAGTGAATTTTGGAAGCTTATAAAATACGTTAGCACGTATTGATATTCTTATAAATAAATTGTATGGAAGACTCATAAAAATAATTTACTTATGAAATAATTATTATCCTTATTGTTTTCTAACTTCAAGATGCATGCTAACTTATAAAATTAGTTTCAATTAAAAAAAGAAAGCTTTTTGTTGTTTATCCAAGAATAACTTATGGTTAGGGTCGATATTCCATTCCATTTGCCATAGAATGACTAAGGATTGGACGAATAATGAAATAAACCTCTCGGAAAAAAATGTTTCACTTATAAAACAAGACATTTTTTTAAAAATATTTTCTCAACACTGACATATTGGTTGATATTTGGATTAAGCACTATGAAATGGTGAAAAAAGTCGTGGGGTACGATATTAAAATTTTACTCATAAGATTGGAGAAATGCTTTGTAACTTATGAAATAAAGACATTTCGGAAAGCAGTTCGCTAATGAAATACAACGGCCTGCGTTCCAAAGTCATAAGACCGCCTTTTCGACCCTTACGAAGACTGGCCACACATAGTCAAACTTTTCAACAACCCTACACACAGTATGCAACCAGGGAGAGGTATACATACATGTGTGTACTAATTTTAGATTAATTGTGAATAACGACTCCGATTCATACAAAAACATTTGGACTATAAGCTCGCTTATGAAATAAAAAGGGGTTTCGGGCGGATCTCAGAAAATATTCCTCAGATCACTGCTTGAATTTGGCGGCTTGTGAAATGCGGGACACATTCCAAACGATTTTGTGTTTATTCAAGTACGTACGACTGTTTACTTATAAAATAAGGCTGGTGAATAATTTCCAGCTGGTTTTCTATTATAAAAATTTGCGTATTTCTATGAAATATGGTTCTCAAAACATATTTCTATTCTTATAAGTATAGGAACAGGCAAAAGCCTTTTTTAAAATTAAAATATAAACTTTCGCCCGTTCCATCTTTTAACCTGTAATTGTACATATATAACAAAATTATCGCTTATGAAATAAGAAAAGGCGTATTTTATGAAAATATTTTAACATCTTAATAAGCGGGCTGTTGTACATCCAAAATTCCATTTTGCAAAATCGTTTCACCTATGAAGTTGTGTTACCGTTTAAAAAGTAAGACTGTTTACTTTTGCTTTATATGATTTGGAAAAAAATCGAATTTTTTTACGAACAAAAGGGCAGAATAAGCAAATTCGTGAGACTTATGAAAACGACGGCCGCTCATCACAAGCCATTTTTGTAAAAAAAATTTAATTCAGTCTTCCTGGAGCGATTTATGTTATCCATCTATCACCTATTTGGTCAATGATGACAGTTTACTTATGAAATACGACTTTGGCCTAATAAAAAAATTGCTTTGTGAAATAAAATTTTTTAATTTAATTTTCTATTTACCCAAAAATATCCCTTATATGTAAAAAATAGACATTTTGCCCTATGCACTTTACTTATGAAATAATAAATTTTCCAAGCCATTACCGGAGTTTAAATAGTTATTTTCGAAATATTAATAACTAACTTAAGGTAGGTAGATATTTTTCAAAATAAAGTTGCTACTTTATGAGCTAATGGTACTAGGAGTTGGTATACGCACAACACTGATTTTGGAGGTTTATAAAATGTTAGCCACTTATTGATCTTTTGTGAATTGTTCATAAAAAAGTTACGAAAATAATTTGCTTATGAAATAATGAGAGTCCTATTCTCCAAATTTTTGAAAAATAATTAAGAAGTTTCACTTTTTGTATTATGAAATATTCCAAACAATAGATAGTATGAATTTTCGAAGCTTATAAATTATGTTAGTCGCTTATTTACACGTTTTATAAAATAACTTGCATATGAAAAAATTGAAACAAAATAATTTGCTTATGAACAATAATAAAATATAAATGAAGGGCCCTTTTTTTTCAAATATATGAAACGATTAAGGCAATCTGTTAAACTGTGTCAATCTGTCAACTTACTTGTAAAATATGCAAATTTTCTAAGCAATAGTGAAAAAACAGTGTTAATTTTGGAAGCTTATGAAACACGTTAGCCACTTATGAACACCTTTTGGGAAACAACGCGTCGCATAAAACAACTATGACGTAATAAGAGTCCTCAAATACATGAAAAAAAATTAAGACAGTTTGTCCAATTTTTTCACTTTTGAAATACCCGAACTTTATCATATTTTATGAGTTCTTATAAAATAAATTACCCACTTATTGATCTTTTCTGAATTAATTCTAATGATGTCATGAAAATAATTTGCTATGAAATAATGAGGGCCCTATTCCCAAAATTTATGAAAAATAATTCAGAAATAAATTATATTTTATGAGCTAATAGTACATAGGAGAAAATGGAGTCTTATATCAAATAAGTTACTCACATATTGATATCTTTTGTGAATTAATTTTACGGAAAAGGAATAATTTGCTTATGAATAATGAGGATCCTATTTCGCAAATTTGTTAAAAATTATTAAGAAATTTATCATTTATGAGCTAATAGTACAGAAGACTATACTAAAGGTAGAAAATACGCAAAACATTGATTTTCGAGGCTTATAAAATAAGTACTCACTTATTGATCTTTTCTGAATTAATTCTAAAGAAAAGTCTGAAAATAATTTGCTATGAAATAATGAGGGCCCTATTAACAAAATTTATGAAAAATAATTCAGACAATTATCTTTTATTAGCTAATAGTACAGAGGACGGTAAACGAGGAGAAAATGGAAGCTTATAAAATAAGTTATTCACATATTGATACCTTTTGTGAATTACAGAAACTAAAATAACTTGCTTATGAAATAATGAGGATCCTATTCCCAAAATTTATCAAGAAATTCAAATTATCTTTTCTAAGCTAATGTACAGAGGAAGGTACTAGACGTAGTAAAAGCACATTGACTTTGAAGGCAAGTTAGCCACGTATTGATATCTTTTCTGAATTAATTCTAAGGAAAAGGCCTGAAACTAATATACTTATGAAATAATGAGCGCCCTATCACCCAAATTCGTGAAAAATAATTAAAACAATTTATCAAAATGTTTTACTTATGAAATATCCACATTTTCTAAGCAATACAAGTCATAGAAAGTGTGAATTTGTAAGTTTATGAAATACCTTAGCCACTTATAAACACATCTTTTGTGAACTGATTGTATGGAAGAATCATGAAAATAATTTGCTTATGAAATAATGACGGCTCTATCCCCCAAATTCGTGAAAAATAATTAAAAAAATTTTTCAAAATGTTTTACTTTTGAAATGTTCACCTTTTCTAAGCAATAGGGCTCATAAAAAGTGTGAATTTTGGAAGCTTATGAAATACCTTAGCGTCTTATAAACTTTTGTGAATTGATTGTATGATATTAAATAATAACGAAATAATGATAATCACGATCATATGAAATAATATGAGACTTATTACCTTATTACAAACGATCTGCCGTTAACTTATGAAATACGACCGTCGCGTACAAATTTTGCCAGAAAAACTTGCTTATGAAATTATGCTAATCCTAACAAACCTTGTCATTGATGGAAACAATCGACTTATATACATTGTGGGGGTTTATGCTGCGTTCGGTAGAGTTGAAGAGTGAATGAAAAAATAATAGAACCTGTTCGTTTATAGGTAGGGTTTTCGATTTAAATTGTTCGTTAGATAATTAGGGCTTTCCCCATTTTTCACTTTCTTCTTATTAATTAGTTTTAATCATTCAAGGTCCTAGGAAAGTACAAGAAAGGCGAAGACGTGATTCTGTTACGAATTAATAAAAAGGTTAATAAAAAAATCGCTGAGTGTGAAAAAATTGATTACACGCTCGGCCGAGCGAGAAAACGGTCTGAATCGGGCGAGACGGACGGACCGCAGAGGGGTGGGTGCAGGCTGGAAGGCAGGAAACGGTAGCCACCACTCACCCCCCGATGTGAACACCGAAATCGCCCCTTTTTTCTTACCTTGCTTGTGGTAGTCCAGAGTGTGTCAGCCGTCGGGAACAGACTGAAGCAACTGGCCGGGATAAAGCTGGCGTACACTTTCACTCTCGCCCCGGTACATGGAAGGGATGTGGGACCCCTCTTTGTACCCCCGCCGAATCATCTGCAAAGTTCATCGGAGGATTGTGCAACAGGCTTGGAGGGGTCATCGCCGTTTCTCAACGGACCCATCAGAGTCTCTCTCTCATGGGCTTCCAGGGAGGTGATATTGGATAACGGGGCCTTTCTTCCGTCCAAAACATGACTACGATGGGTACGACAAAAGAGAAAAAAGCAAGCTATTTCCTACCTAACCTCCGAGAGCTAACTCCGACCAAGATTAAGTAAACTGCGATGTCTACGGCAAAAATTGCCCACTAATTATATTAATAAACAAAAACTTCAATTTTGAAAATTGGGATTCATTGATGCCAGACAACGGATCAAAAAAATCAACAGAATCTGATATTAAACTCACAACTAGAAATTTATAAAACGTTATGCAAAACTAAAACACGTTTTTAGCGGTGGGAGTTATCTATTTTATTAATCAACCATGTGATGAAGGTTACAGAAGATTTGTCGCATAGATTCTACAGTAGAAAGAACGAAGGGAACGTAACGCCACGGTTTCAAACTTTGTGACTGTTAAAAGCTCGTAATTTCTACAGTAGAAAAAAGTGAGAAGGTTGGGCCGTGGTTTCAAGTTTTATGGCTGTTTTGCTAGAATGTTGCAGTAAAACCGAAAAAAGAAGCGAAGGTTACACCTTGGTTTAATATTTACTAACTATTAATGGTACTGTAAGAGGTAGAGGTAGAGACGCAGGTTACTCCGTGGTTTTAAGTTTTGAGGTTTTTATGGTCGATTACACACAAAACCACGAGGTGAAAGTTACACCTTGGGTGTAATTTGTGGCTTATTAAACCAGCAATATTACTGTGCAAAGAAGAGGTGCGAGTTTTACATTTGAGGATCGTAGCGTAAAACAACGAAGACAGCCGAAGAAATGGGAGGTTACCACAGTTTCAAGTTAAAATCAATCATTTTTTGACATCTCATCAAACAGGCGAAGGTTATGCCATGGTTATATTCTACGTGGTGTTCAATAAGGTGGGCAGAGGAGAGGACTAAGGGGCAGTTAAAGCATTCAACATTCTAAAACGATACGTAGGTTATGGCTTGGTTGCCCGCCCGCTTGAATATCGTAAAACAAAGGTGAAACGAATGTTGTGTTTATATCATGGTTTCAAGCTTTGGGATAAAAACTATAGCATGGCTATACAAAGGAAATAAAAAAATTAGGAGGTTTTGTCTTAGTTTCATATTATTCTGTTTACTCTATTAAAAACTCAACTGAAAAGTACGAGGCAAAGGTTACGAGGTTTCAAGTTTAATGGCTATTATTTATGCTCGACCAGTCTACAAAAGAAAAAAAACGAGGAGAAGGTTACTCCCAAGTTTACGTTTAAGGATGATAGCTCAAAAACGGGAAGGTCTAACACAGAGGAGGTTTGAGCATTGTTTCAAATTAATTTCACTGCACTAACAAGGCTAAGTTTATATATTTATAAGGTTAACTCGCTTCAATAGTACATCTGAGAAAACTGTATGACGGTCATTATCTTTCTGCGGTATAACTCCCAGAAAAGTTCAACTGCAAAATGGATGGACTGAAGGTTGCGTAATGGTTTTAAGTATAATGGTTGATATGCCACACCATTCTGCACACAGTAGAAATAACGAAGTATATGCTTGAAGATTTTCGAAAAATAGGAGGTTATGTCTTAGTCTTATATTATTACGAAATTAACACGGAGAAAGCAATGCCATGGTTGTAATTGAAGGTTAGCTCGCCAACAAAAAACAAACATACTATTAGAAGGTAATATCTTTTTTTCAAGGTTTGAGCAGTATCCTTAAAATAAGTAAGAAAGGACAGACCGTAGTTTCACAACTAAAGCGAATTATCTAAAAAGGAAAGGGAGGCTATGCACGGGTTGCACGCGTGATTCGGCCGAACAGGTTTACTGTAGAAAAAGAAGGTTATACCATTCCTTACTTTCTAGTACTGTACTACTACATTGTAATAGAAAAACCCGAGAAGGTTTCAGGATGTTGTACCTACCATGTTTTCCGACTCAATTTGATTAGAATCTACGTTGGAAGTGCGAGGTTATGACATGGTTTCACGGCCTAATTTAAATTAGAAGGCAATAACATATGATACATTTGATCCCTGGATTTACGAGGTGTTTTTCTTAAGTTACAAATACTAAAAAGCTTGATTGAAGGTTATGTCGTGGTTACTTTTTTATTAAGTAGCTCAACGCCTAATCAAGCACAACAAAAACAATGTATGCGGTGTATTCAATTTATACAGTAGTCACTAGTTCCTAATCAAGGTTATGAACGGTAGTTACGGTTGTACCACAGTTATGCATAACATTCTTCAGAGAAATGATGTACTTTCTTCCACAGTTACATTCTTCAGAAAATGAAATTACTAGAGTATAAAAGTTGTCCTGTTCACAAAAAATCCAAGCAAAATAGTATGGCGTAACCGTCCGCCATTCGGTTTTTAGGTAGAAGGTTATGCCATGATTAAGCGCGGCCCCTTGGTTTCCATGGGAGGTTACCACAAGGTTAGCCACTAAAGAAAATAATGAATGAAAAAAATATTGAAGAACAACTTGTTATTAGGATAGCTGACATTTGTAAGATATTCGGCAATCAAATTCATGATTCATTTGTTCATTGATGGGGGGGGGGGGAGAAACCTTCTGTAACACAAGATCTAGAGGAAGATAAAATATGCGATGTGATAGAGAACGGAAAGGAAAAGTGATAAGGTAGCTTATAACAATTACATAACCTACCCGGTGTATTTAAACATCGAGGTTATACTACGCACGTAAAATATGAATGGTTTCACTAGGGCGCAGAAACATCGGCCAGAATGTTGTAACAGTGGTGTAACCTCTTCGGTAGGGAGGCAATAAACATTTTATACTTCTATTACGAATCAGTTCTGCATGTAACATGCACTGGTTAGGGCTGAGAATCATGCCGTACAACACTTACATAACCTACATGATAGAAAGGTTATGATGAAGTAAACCAATATGACTGACTTAACATACTTACTCCGGACTCAACTTGTTCGAATAAAATTACATATTGACTGAAGGTAGGTTATAATAATTTACCAGTACGGCAGGTTATAACATTTACATAACCTTCACCCAAGGGCAAAATGAGAGTTGAATAGGTTAACCTCTTAATCGTGTGTACCATGAATAAAAAATATACGCTTTTTCGACAAAAACGATATAACTTTGGTAACTTCATAAACGAAAAAACTATGTCCCTGTTCGGGCTTTTTCTTCAAGAAAGTGAAGGTTACATTACTGTTGTCTTAGAATTTTGTAATTAAGATTGTAACAGGAGCATAACCTTCCTCTTGTTAACATAATATTTGAAGTTATTCTATAAAATCATAAACAGATACTTTTAAATAATATCGTCACATTAGGATTATAACATATCAAAACGCTCATAAAATGTTATAACAACCTCATAAGTAGTACATTGCTAAAATAAATCTGTACGTTGAAGAGTAATACATGTTTTTATGTACCTATGAATGTGAATAACTTCGTATATTTGCGACTAGGAGTATAACAGGCGTCTAACTTTCCTATTTGCTTTAGAGTTATTCTATACAATTTTACATAGGAACGTTGGTACGTTCAATAATAATTGACTTTGAAATGAACAGGTATGTTACAACCTTAAGACCTCATTAAATTTTCCAACAAGAAAGGTTATAACAGCCACAACACGTTCAAGTAAAATATATATGTGTACTATTCCTTTTAAGAAATAGAAGCTTTTAGGTATAAGTTACATAAGTATAAGCTTCTAGATATATTTACCATTATCATACTATTATAACAGGAGAATAACCTTCCAGTTTTCGGGGAGCAATGCTGACCTGCTAACTATTTCATATTATGTAATTAAATGATTTCCTACAGATGGAGGAGATTACAAAATATGGGAGCGTAACCTTACAGCGACAAAAAGAAAATAATTAAGATTTTTTTTCTTCTGCAAGCCGATGTTTTCATCTAGCAAAGAAGAAACAGCATCATAACCTCCCAGCTATTTTAAAATGTATTACCATTTCAGATATCCTTAAAAACTAACACGGGAAGAACCTTAAAGACCTTTCGTATGGAGGGGCTAACTTTTCAAAACGAAAGCCTACAACAGGTTCTTCCACGTATACGTTAACCTCAAATGTGAAACCTCCTAACCATCCCCAAACCAATTACCTTTGAAAGTACAGTATAGCAATTTAAAGGTCAAAAAATCATTTAAAAGCAACCGGGGCAGTTATAACCTTACAGAAAAATTAAATTCTCGGCACGAAAGGTTATAACAGCTAGTGTAATCTTCTTGTTATTTAAATTAAAGCATTGTTAAATTTTTGTGAGAACTGAAGCATTGGATGGATAAGGTTTCAAACAAATGCTTAACCTGAAGTGTGAAACAAAAGTATAACCTTTCAGTCAATTTCGTGGGTAAATTATTAAATTTAAAAGTTAGGAAATGATTTTAAATGCAACAGGGGATGTAATAACCTCAAGGAAAATTACCTTCTCACAACGAATAATTAGTGTAACCTTCTTGTTATTAATATTATTATAATAATATTCATTTCTTTGTTGAAACTGAATCATTTGGATGGATAAGATTTTTTTTAAACAGATGCTTCACCTTTATACTATAAGCATAAAACAACTATAACCCTCCAGTTAATTAAAATAAATTATGAAATCTAAACGGGGATGTTACTGTGTTATAACCTTACGGAAAATAGCCTTCTATCACGAAAGGTTATAACAGTTCGTGTAACCTTCTTGTAGTTTTAGGAAGGCTTCAACGGACACTACCCTTCTTACTATGAGGTAAAGGTAAAATTAAATTTTAAACGTTAAGAAATAGCGCGTATTAAAATAGCAAGGAAGCAACCGGGTATGTTATACCGAAAGGAAAAATAACCTTCTCGACACGAAAGGTTATG